ATGTAATATGAAGAAACTCTGTTAGCAATTAGTGCTGCAAGTAATTACTTATGCTGTTTACCATTCCGAAGTAGTCTTGTTGCTGAATATGATAGCGAAAGTTATGTTCGTAATATATAACATAATTATTGTAATATTTAATGAACCAACAAATTCAAAGTTTAGTAAAGTTTGAAAGAAGAGTATTAGAGGTCGGAGCGAAAAATAATATTTATATCACTTTTTCACGTCAGTAAATTTTGAATTACATACCTAAAAATATTCCTTTCTCGTCAGAAAGTGTCTGTATGATAAGTCTTTTGCATACACAGTTTGATGAGAGATTTTTCAGAGTTGCTTGGTAACTGTGAGTGTGGATGTGTGAGAGAGGGGATTGTGAGTGTGTATGGGGAATGTGGGCATGTGGTTGTGGGTGTGTGTATTTGGTGGGTTTGGGTGTATCAAAGAATATTAAGAAATAAGGCTTTTTGAATAGTCACTTGAAAATTATTTTTCTAATCAGCATAATGATAGCGTAGTATTAAATTATTGAAGTGTAAAAATGCAAAACACAATTACACAAATCCACTTTAAATGAATATTGTAAAATAACATTCTGTATTAACAAATGTAAAAACACTATAAATTGATTAAAATAAATAAATAAATAAATAAATTTAAATAATATAAAATGAAATTAAATAAAATTAAATAAAATTAGATAAAATTAGATAAAATTAGATAAAATTAGATAAAATTAAAAAATAAATTAAGTGTAGAATGAAATGCGTGCTGTAAAAATGGCGGATCTGATATGTGAGTCCTCTGAGATACACTGAAGAGAAGCGCAGGTCGTGGCTAGCCGGAGGGGCGGCCGCGGGAGGGCCGGTGCAGGGGGGTGGCGCGGAGGGTGCAAAGGCCCGACGCATTCGTACCCGCCGGATGTTTACGACGGTCCGCGGCTCAGCGCGCGATAAGCGCGGATACAAGCGACACTTGGATTAGCGCGAGACGCGGCGCGTTCCCGCCGTTGCCGCCGCTTGAGGCGGGGGCGTGGGCGGGAGCAGGGACGGGCGGGGAAGCCTTGAAATGCCGGCGCCTCTGCCGCGGGCACGTTGTGGAGGCCACTCCGGGACGGCAGCTACGCGCGGCGAATGGAGACACACCTAGCGGAAGGGTGACCAGGTTGGCAAGCTAAGGTGAGAAAAACCCCCCAGACATAAAGAGGAAACACTCTATGAAGAAAATAACGAATGAGGCACCTCGGACAAGAGGAAAGATGAGGATTGCTGATGAAAACGCAGTGCCTAAGATTGGGAGTGAAGGGGCGAGTATTGTAGCGCGGGATGGGAACGCAGCTATGCTGAGGCTATAAACGTTCTTCTGCTCTACAGTGAGAGCACGAAGCCAAAGACTGCGGACAACGGGGCGAAGTGCTGAAAGCAGAAATGGGGTGGGGATGGGCAAGAACATACTGCATAGTGAGGCAGTCAAAGTGGGAGCGGGGCGATGATGGATAGGGAGGAGCATATGAATGGGTGGGTAGGGGCGGCGCTGGGCTGAGTTGGCGCGGGCTGCACGCGCTTCCACGAGCTCGACAGCCCCGCAACTTCAAAGTTTTTAGTTTCCCATTATGGGCTTCGAAGGATGAGCATTTGGTAACTTATGTAAGAGGTACTTAAGAACTGTAGTAAAAATCTGCCTCCAGGGACATTAAAATAATTAAAATTTTAGTCGTTAAAGGAGAAGCGCGCTCTCAGGAGTATGGTATTTCGCCCAACTTTGAACTCTCAAGGCGTGTGTGCATGTCGAGCGTTTTGATGAGCAGTTTTCGACAAACATTGCTTGAATTTCGTTGTAGAGTTTGTAGGAACTTTTTTTAAGGCTGTGACGTTCTGTCTACACCGGTTATTTTTGCGAATATTGCAAAATACAAGACTGTGACGGCATTTTTTCACATTGCCGTCAAAAGTATTAGTAAATTGTGAAGACTATTGGCCTTTGCAGCAATACGTTGGTAAGATCTCCTAATATAAGCAACAGGCAGAAATGTACGATTTCTGCCTGTTGAAATACGTTGATATGTTGAAAGAAGGGAAATTCCTAGAAACTATTACAACGGTTTACCTCCAAAGCGTCAGTTTAAATATATTTTTTTGCATCGAAATGTTGCCATTTCTTGTCACTTGGGAAGATGTTTCAATTTTGGGTGAACGCTATCGATACGTGTATTTGTATTATAAGTGTTCACAGCCAATGTGCAGTAAACATTGTAATTTGTTTTTAAGCGTAATTTGTTTTAAACTGCAATGCTCATTAAACATGAAGGAATATTGGTGCAAAATATAACTGATATTGGACAAAAAATGATAATTATGGGTAAATTTAAAATGTTTTTTCATGAAAATAATATTTAAAATGTATAATATATAACAATTACTTTGGAGTCATAACACGGAAACGTTTTAACAATACGTACATTTCAACTATAATACATCAAACAAGTTTTAATTTAATGCATCATATCTACATATGTGCTTACTTTACTGTCAGATTGCACATTTACTCTCACTGGAATCTATCATTTTGATAAGTTATGTTTTGTGTAGTCGCTTCTGAACTTTTCCCCGTGAGAATGATTGCTTCGAGTCTCTGAAACTTCTAAAGCATTTCTTATAATGATTTTGACTAGATCACCAAGAAAATATTTGGAGATTAGAAAAACATTTGGAAATTTATTCATTAAGTAACAAGATGGGAAATAAATATAAAAAATATTGTCTGAAAGTTAAAGGAAATACAAATTAGTAAATGTAGATAAAAATGTATGGAAATTCTTTTCTTCGTTGACTGTGCCGAGTTTATGCAAAATATAAAATAGTTTATTGAAATACCAATGTATAGGAGCCAGAACTCTATAGACTCTTCGTTATTCGCCTATTGGTCATTTTTAATGATTTGTCAAAAATTATACATATCACATTCTTATCTACTGTAACAATACGCAACTTGCGATGTATTCATAGTCATAAGAGTAAGCTTGTGACGCTTCACCTTCTTAGTTTAATAATTCTAAAAATGATTAATCTGATTCAAGAAATCGATGACTATTTAGTTCTTGAAAACATGTGGATTGTAAAATATCTTATTTCCAAATGCCTTATTTATACATGTTTTAATATTGTAAACAAATTTCCCTTACTTAATTACCTTAAATTTACTGAATGATCTTCATTCATTGTTTTATTCATAGGTGTTAAGTCGTCGTTGATGTACAAAATAAGAAACTTTCTAACGTTTTTTTAAGCAGAGATACAAACATCACTATTTTGGTTCACGCTAGCTGTATCGTTACTTTTTTTTTTAATGTAAGGCTGCTAGGATGCCGTGTGTGTGTCTGATCCATTAACATAATAAATAGCTACGTAACCTCATTTCCTTGAAAGCTATATTTACGATGCCCAGAATTGACAATGTGCAAGGATATTTTCTATAGTTTCTTGGTGCGTTGCGAGGAAAGCCTAGAGCAACAAAAGTACGTAAGCGCTTGGACATAGGGCGCCGCAATGCATGCTGTTGCGTATTGGACCGGGGCGTAGATATGATCCTGTTTGCGGAGGCCACGCGCGAAGGGGAGGCATAAAAGGGGAAAGAAGAAAAGGGAGGCGCACGGCGGTGGCGGGCGGCGGCGCTGCTAAGGAAACCGCGCGTCATTCGCGGGGAGAAGATCGAGGGGCGGCGGCGGCGGCGGCGGCGACGAGGAGGAGAGCTCCCCTCGGGGGCTAGCCGCCTGCAAGTCGCGCCTTCTCACGAGCCCTTCGCGCTCCCTGCACTTCCTCCCATTCGCGGCGCCCCCGCGGCAAGCTCTCCGACTAGGCTGCTGCCCCCGCCCCCGTCCCGGCGCGCTCCCACCTACCTCATACTCCGCCCTCGCTATCGCCCTCGGCCGGGTAATATGCATAGCCTCCTTCTATCCTAAGCTGTCGTTGCTTCTCTCTTGCACACACCCTCTGTCCCTTTCGGTGATCCACTGTCTCCTCTTCTTTCTCCCACATTCTTTCTCTTTTAATCTGACTCATTCCGCCTCCCTTTCACTTCCACCGCCCCCCATCAACCCCAATGCACCCAAAACGTCCAACGCTCCCAACGCTCTCATCACCTTCACTGTCCCCATCGTCCATCGCCCCCATCACCCCCTCACCCCATCACCTCCTTGCCCCCATCACTCCCTTGTCCCCATCGATTACTTGCACCCACCGCCCATAGCCCATCGCCTCCACCGCCCATTCATCGTTTCCTCCCCCCCCCATTTCTCGACCTCGACCACATTTCTCGTATTGCCCCCAATGATCCCAAAGCTGTCATCTCCCCTTTGGCTCTCATGGCCCTGGACGCCCGTATCTTACATTTTCTTCTAAACCATCAACCCTCCCACCACTGTTCCGGTCGCGATGCCTCTGTTGCTCCTTTAAACCTCTTAGATCAATCGCCTGTTTCAATTTCGCCTCGAAATCAGTAGCTCCCCCACCGCAGTATGTCTGCTGAGGGCTCTCTTTGGACGCGTCTATCCGCTTCTGTTGCCTCCTGAAGCGCAGCACAGGTGACGCACGTGGGGGATGGCCACCCGCTTGTCTTGTAGACCACTGCAGTGCGTTTAGGGTCGTGATACGTGTGCTCATACGATGGAGAACCACATTTAACAGGTGTGAGAATTCCGGGAGTATTTCATGACTGCTTTTTTGTGAGAAGGTAAAGAATTTTCACACGTTACAAAAAAAACTTGTGAGTTCGTTTGCGTATCATAATGTTACAACTTTCAGCGCCAAAATATTTAATATTATTATCAAGTTGATGCTCAAGCAAAGAAAAACTGCGATTTAAAAAAAATGGGTTTAAGGTTTTTTCTAAAATTATATTTCTCCATTATTTCCAATAATTCTGCAGAATATATGAATATATGCAGAGTATACGAAATTACATTTGATTGTGCAAATAAGTTCCAAGTAAGATTTGATACTTACATGCTCGCTAGGATAATTTCCAATGGCCTCGTTCGTCATATAATCTTCAACCTGGAAAATAAAAGTACTTGATAATACACGTGTACGTTTGCAAGGTGATCGTTTACCATATTATTTTATTCTCATTCAATGCGCTTCAGAAAAACACGCAAACAACAAAAACCGAGCATAATGAAAACATTTTATCTTAAAAATGTGATATTATATGAATTTCGGGCTCGTACTCGAGAAATTTTAAATTAGATTCGGCCCACCTTATGAACTTAACAGATGTTTAGATCTCTTTAGGTCGGCGTTTTTTGTTTGGTTTTAACATTGAATTTTATTAAAATTTTATAACAGTGTGTATCGACTTAATTTACGAAGTACTAACATCTGAGTTCTGTCTCGTCCCGACGCTGCAAGGCACTAAGGGAAAGAAGAAGAAGAAGAAGAAGAAGAAGAAGAAGAAGAAGAAGAAGTACTATCTTGGGTGACACGTGTGTAGAAAATAACGGTCTTGGCTTGTCTAGTAGAATGGCAGTGATGTCGTTAGTTTAAATCCTTTCCAGGATGAGAGGTGACAAAGGTGAAGGGCCGTGCAGAATAGAAGAGGGATATCCCACTTTCACTTTTTTCTCTTAGCGAAAACCGGTATAATTTTCTTGTCTCAACGACTCCCCTTCGATCCTTGCTCTCGCTGATTTCTTTCACATGCCACAGAATGCCTTCCAGAACGGTAATTCTCATCTAGGCAAGATAGATCAGGGTGCAGTACAAATAGACCGTTAAACATTCTGTGTAATGAAATAGAGGTAGTATATATTTAACTAATCTATAAATTGTGCGTAGGTACGGGAAAACATACACTAAGAAATAAACAGAAAATATACATTATCATCGTCAGAAAACAGGTGGAAAAACACGACTTTCACGTTCTTTTAATAGAATTTGTTTAATTATGTTTGCCTCATACGTTGAAGTAACATTCATTATTGACCTAAACTTCCAAACAAGATTGTTTCCACCTATCCATATTTACAGTTGTGTTTTTGAACTATTTAAAATATCTTTCATTGCTTCATCAGCAACGGTCAGGTATTAAAATCTGAATTTCGAAAGTTATAATATTTATGCGCAACGAATTTCCAAATATTTTCATATTCTCGAGATGTTTAATTCTCTCGATGTCTGAGATGAAATTCAGTAAGATAAGAACCAATTTTATAACTGTCTGCAATTCGCTGATGAATCGTATTTTTGCAATAAAATGTACAACTGGCAATGTAATGTAAAAAGAGAACTAAGTTTGACAAATAATGTCTTGGGTACAAAATACATTAAACAAACCAATTGCTTTTACATTTGTAGAAAAAAATCTATAACATCTTCGTAAATAACATTCGCATTAACATATATATTGATGTATTGATGTTTATTTCACCATGTAAGACCGAGAGAGATCGCTCATTGCGTCAACTGATGTCACTTCAGTCTCTCTGACCGGGGAGTCGTAGGTTCGAGTCCCGACGGTGACAGGAATTTCGACACTTACTGCTCAGCTATGTCAAATTCAGTCGTCTGGAGGAGAATTCTAGCGGCTGGCCGGTTGCACTGGTCGGTAGTTTTCCGTGGTTTCTCCGATCAACACCAGGCGAATTCCGGAGAAGTACCCCAACCAACGGGCCACGGACCGCGCGCGATCTTTCCTACATCTTTCTTGTCCTATCTTCATCCCTTACACACTTACACTGACATGCACTACTCTACCACACATGCTCGGAGACCGGTCGGGAGCTTATAACTTTTTCCGGTTGGGGCGGTACCCTGCTGGTAGGAGATATCTGGTTCGGGGAAAACACAACTAGACGACGGTAGGTCAGCGCCGGATCTCGCCATCCAGTGGGAGACGACCACCCCCACCTCCCGAGAACAAAACATGCACTACACTTACAAGGCTAATGACCTTATTTGTTGACGCGCCCGAAATCACTAACAATCTAATCAAATTAAATCATTCACCAATTAAGGAATCTCACGAAAGTGCTCTTTGGTTGGTGCAACTACCCAGTATGGAATTCCTCTGAAATATCATTAATATGAAATATTTAGTAAACAAATATGTTCTTTCGAAAATTGAGAAAATGAACTTTCCAATGTGGTAATATTTCACACAAGTGTACATTGTAAAGCTAGGAACTTATATGAATTACATGATATATATCATATGTATTGTGGCTTCGAAAATAAAATGAAGAAGTTGCTTCAGATGTACTAAAACTACCTATCAAAGTTAAAAAAACATATTTACATTAATTATTTTACGTCAAAATAAACATTAGCCGTGTGCGACATTGGTCGGAGGGCAAATTATCTATATTTACTGTCCAGAAGTACAGCAATGGACCATTTCAACTATTTCTCAACATATCAAGGGAAACTCGACGAAAAACCTGATGGAGATGGTAGTCATTTAACTTATGAGCTGATAGTTACTTGTTACCTCCGTATTCAATATTTTAGAATTTTACAATACAAAATGTAATGTGGTAATATTATTCATACATTTCACTAAAACATGTACAAATAGAATAGTGAATGAATACTAGAGCCGATTGAAATAAAGGTCACTGCGAAAGGATGTACATGGTTGTAAGATTTCTTCCAATCATGTAATAGTCGTCATATGATACATGACACATCCTGTAATGAAGAACAAACGAAAATCCGTACTACAGATCAGTATATTTTCAGCTGGACACTGAAGTTAACTTGACTCACATCCACATAGAATCTTATAACACGGTCTTGTTTTTCTTTTTACAAGATGCCAGCTTTATCGGAATGTATTTCTTAAACCATGAATTTATTGAGAATTCACATCTTTGTTGTATCTTTATATGCGATTTACCAAGAACTCCAAACATCCCTCTTCGTCTTTTGAACTAATGACGAGTATCACCGAAAAACAATATGCTGTTTTGTATAACCAAAATAATCCTGCATTGTAATGTCTACGTTGGATATTTGTGTGAGAATTCCGATGAATTATAAGAATATCGTAAACCTCAAGTGACACCTTTTTCGTGTTCTCGGGCAGGAATACTTCACAGTTAGGATCAAACTAGCAAGAAGAATGTCGTAGGAAGCCCGTATGGATTTTCTATGTTGCCCAGGAGCCAGAGTGTTATTGTTGCTTGAGGGCCTCACTCAATTTTGTAGGAATGAATTGAAATGTAAAGGTAGAGTTGTTGCATTGTAAAAGTGCATGTCAGCGAACCTTTTTCTAATTATCGCAACGTCGCTCGTAGACACGAATACAATTTGATAAAAAAACGTCAATGCCGTCCAAATATGTATACAGATACGACACCAATCGCCCTGAATGCACTGGGGAAGTTTTAGGTTTTTCAGTAATTAGTGTCTTTATTGCATTATTGTTGGGGGATGGCAAAGGTAATTCTAATATTCACGCTATAAACCTGGTCATTTTAATTCATTATTGTTCTTAAAAAAACGAAATCTCTACCAATTGCTCACCTACATCTCGTCGGTATTATGGAATGTGAATAAGACTACGGTACAGAGAAGTATGCAAATGTATTTGTTTAAATAGTGGGCCTAAGTTGTTGGGAACGGAGGCACGAGCGAGGATGGGTGCGAGGGCGAGGGCAACGGCGAGGGAGGGGGCGGGGATGAGGACGTGGGCGAGGGCGACAGTGAGGCCGGAGTAGGTGGCAGTGGAGTAAGAAGCGACGCGCGCAGTGGCGTCGTGCCGTCTGCGGAGACGAAGGCGACCGCAACGCAGCCTCGCCGGCCACCACCGCCACCGCCTCCACCGCCACCTCCTCCGCCTCCTGCACCGCCTCCGCCCCCGCTCCCGCCGCCACCGCCGCCGCACAGCGTCGCCGCGCAGCGCCTTGCAGAGGCCAGCGCCTGGGAATCGATGAGAAGACGAGCAGACGGAGGACGGAGGACAGAGGGCGGGGAGTGCGGACGGGCGGACGGCCGAGCGCGCAGACGGGCCCTGGATCCCCGCGTTCTTACGTCGCCGGCGCGCCCTTAACGAGCAAGCATAACGGGCGTCGTTTGAAAGACCACTTTGCGTTTTATACCGTTCTATCTCGATAGTTTCCCGCCGTTCTCAACTACTATTTCCATAATATTTTAATTATACTTCTAGAAGAAACTGCAACATAGGATAAGGGAGCTAGTAAGGTTTTAAAATCCGTCGCTCATTTCTGCAACAACGCATTTTAATCTACGCACATTAATGTTGCTTACGTACACTTTCACGTTGTTATGTGTTTCATTTACGTTTTATAACTCTTCTCAGCACTTCCTTTTCGTTCCTCCCCGCCTCCAGCGCCCGCTTCTGCGCCCGTCGAGGAGCGCCCCGCCCCCTCCTTCTCCGCCCCCGCTCCCGCCCGCGCTCCCCGCCGACGGCGCCCCGCTGCTGCGGCCCTCGGTCGCCCCTTCTCTCGCCGTCCTCGCCCCCGCCTTCCCCGCTCGTCGCTGTTGCGCCTTTCCCTAATTCTTTACACTTCACTCGCTTGCAAAATATTAAGAACTTTCAAAATGGCTGTCTGGAATTAAAAGAGGGTTGAGGGGGTGGAGTGGGGGGTTGAAAACGAACTTTGCATATTGTAAAGGAAAAGTGCGGCTGTGTGGGTGTGCGAGGGAGGGCGCGCGCGTCGAGCGAGCCGGCAAGAGAGTAATTCTGTAAGAGGGTGCGGAACAGAAGATACGGGGCCAAGGGGGAGAAAAGAGGGGTAGAAAAGATTCTTACTTCCCGCAGCCAATCCTGAAGCTTTCTAATAAAATTGCATTTTCAGACTTCTCCCCCCGACCCCTCCTTCGTCCTCTCTTCTGCTCTGCCCTTCTCCCCCGCACTTCGCCCCAGCACTCCTTGCCCTTTTATATCAGTCTTTTAGAAGGAGTCCTTCCCTCCTTCTTTCTCTTTGAAATTCTCGCGCCCTCTTTCGCGTTTCATTTTCCAAGGCACGCCCTTCTTAAGTCGTGTGCAGGCGGCGGCTGCGCGGCCGCCGCGCTGCCGCGTCCCCGCCCCTTCC